AACTGAAGCCGCAATTAACCACGAATATCTATACACAGGAACAGTTTAACTAGTTACCTCATAATACAGATAATATACATTCTAATATATTATAATAATATTTAATCTAATCTATAATATATATATATATGTATATATATAAATACATTATTATAACTATAATTAAAATTATATTATACTGTAATTAATGAGTAAACTATTTATAAACTACTGACTGACTGATAGAATATTCGCTGGATAATCTGCGGGTTCTTACGTAGCTCTCGTTAGTCACGTTGTCGCGGTAACGCGTGCTGCAGGTTTGTCGTGGACGAAGTCACTGGGGTCGTGGAGGTCGCGACCTGTGACACGCCCGGTTCGGGAAACTGCCTCGACTACGACGCAGGCAGCGCCACCTACCAGCTGTTTGTGGCAGCAGCGGACGAGGCGGGCGGCGGGCGGTCGACGGTGGCGCCACTGACCGTGCGACTGACCGACGTTAACGACAATAGAGCGTCGTTCGCGGAGGGATATCGTAACTACACGGCGATCGTGGACGAGGGAAGCACGCAGTTCAACCCTCCACTCATCGTACAGGTGTGTGTGTGTGTGTGTGCGTGCGTGCGTGCGTGTGCGTGTGTGACTGTGTGTGTGACTGTGTGTGTGCCGTGCTTGCGTGCGTGCGTGCGTGCGTGTGACTGTGTGTGTGCCGTGCTTGCGTGCGTGCGTGCGTGTGTGTGACTGTGTGTGTGCCGTGCTTGCGTGCGTGCGTGTGTCTTTGCATGGGCGTGCGTGTGTGCGGGTATACTGGTGACTGGTGTTCTCCTATGAGTGAGCGTGTGGTATGGTTGGTCGGTTGAATGGAAGGTTGGAGGCATAGCTCGCTGGCTGGCTGGACTCTCATGGCTTCTCTCTGTTTCACTGTTCTACTGCATGCTCTGAAGGTTGGATGTGTAGCTGGCTGGCTGGCTGGGCTCTCATGACTTCTCCCTGTTTCACTGTTCTACTGCATGCTCTGAAGGTTGGATGTGTAGCTGGCTGGCTGGCTGGACTCTCATGACTTCTCTCTGTTTCACTGTTCTACTGCATGCTCTGAAGGTTGGATGTGTAGCTGGCTGGCTGGCTGGGCTCTCATGACTTCTCCCTGTTTCACTGTTCTACTGCATGCTCTGAAGGTTGGATGTGTAGCTGGCTGGCTGGCTGGACTCTCATGGCTTCTCTCTGTTTCACTGTTCTACTGCATGCTCTGAAGGTTGGATGTGTAGCTGGCTGGCTGGCTGGACTCTCATGACTTCTCCCTGTTTCACTGTTCTACTGCATGCTCTGAAGGTTGGATGTGTAGCTCGCTGGCTGGCTGGACTCTCATGGCTTCTCTGTTCTCCATGTAGGCTGAGGATGCGGATGGGAGTGCCAGCATCTCCTACTCTATCGTCAGCGGCAACACTAACGACGTGCTATCGATCGACAACGTCACCGGCGTCGTCTCCGTCGCCGCGCCTGAGAAACTGGACATCAGTCTGCTAGCTACAGACCTGTGAGTGACGCACGCACGCACGCACGCACGCACGCACGCATGCACGCACGCATGCACACATATTCACACAGGCAAAAGTTCACACTCATTCTTTTTATTCATAGTTTATTTCCTTTTATTTTTCTCCAAAATAATCTGTCCCCGACCCCTCCCACCTCCCCTCCCACCTCTCCGGAGTTCTTACCGTTAACGATTCTACACAGAATATATATCTATATATCTATATATATACACGGCATAAGCCTGCGTTAGACTGCCACCCCCCCTCACCCGCGCTCTCACACTCCTTCCCACAGCGTGGTGCTGACTGTGGCGGCGACGGACGGCGGCGGCAGTCTACCGGACCTCGCGACGGTCAGCGTGTTTGTGAGAGAGGTCAACGACCGCCGGCCGACCTTTGACCCCGCCGTGTACGCGGCCAGCGTGCGCGAGACTGACCCGCCAGGTACGCTGACCTCGTCCGCTGACCCCGAGGTCAGAGGTCACGAGCAGAGAGGGTTGCGGGCTGGGAGGGTGTTGATATGTGCAGGGATGTATTGTAGGAGGTGTGTGTGTGTTCATGCGTGTGTGCGTGTGTTGATATGTGCAGGGGTGTATTGTAGGAGGTGTGTGCGTGCGTGTGTTGATATATGCAGGGGTGTATTGTAGGAGGTGTGTGCGTGTGTGCGTGCATGTGTGTGTTGATATGTGCAGGGGTGTATTGTAGGAGGTGTGTGCGTG